TTACTGTGCCGGATCCTCACACGAAATGCCTAAATCCCTCAATCACTATATAGAGCAGGGACCATATAATGGACTTTATAGCAAACTTGGTTACCTTACCGTTCGGACAGATGATCACTACTTTTTGCTCCCTGTTTGTCATTTTAACTCCTCTTCCACTGCGTGGTGCCTGCGCCATCTTTATTAGTCACCGCTGTTGGGTAGTGACAGTGGGCCTTGGTGACAGCAAATCCCATAATGCTTTGCGCAAAACTTTCTGGTATATATCTGCCCCTTCTGATGCCTTTTTCTTCACATACACTTCGTAGACACTTTTTCTCTTATGACCCATGGGCCATTTTCAAAGAACCACGGAGAGAAAGGAGAGCTTCAATGACTGTCTGAAACCGTAGCTCACCACAGATATACGCCTGAAAGTGTTCATGTGCAGAAAAAGATAGCTAATTGGGGACGAGAATGTAGGACGGCCTTATGTAAATATATCACCATAATGATATGACAATTAGGAGGACCACTTATTTAGATGATCCATCCTGAAATAAAAGATCATCCTCTATACCTTTAATGCTTTTTTTTTTCTTTCTCTTTCAGCATATTCCTCCAGCACCACCACCGGCTACTCTCCCTACCAGCATGACACTGGAACAAACTCCTCAGGAGCTCCTCTGCTTATCTGAAACGCAATGCAGAGACTAGAATGTCTATTTACAGACAAATCATGTAGCCTCTTCTTTTATACTGTTACTGAGCAGAGCACCTTTATCCTAGATGGGTTAGTTCTCCATTCATTGGTCAAATATATATATATTTTTTACCTTTTCTAAAACGTGACCAGCAGAGGAGACCCTTTTCCAGTTTTTCTTAATTTTTTTTTCGATGGCAAAAGGTTGCAAGCTTTTACAAATGGAGTGTTTTAGGTGTAGAAAGTGACTTAAGTAAAAGTTCAACAGCAAGGAGGCCAGAGGATCAATGCATCGGGACAGAACCGTCCTCATTCTTGGCTTTGTTATTGTTTATACAGGATATCCTATTCTGCATGTACAGCTTTATGTCTCCAACCATTTCTCTAGACTACTGAGACACATTTTGTTTTTTTTTACTTACAGATTGTTTTAAGCCATATTTTGATGTACATATCAAGACAATGTTACTCTGTACCATTTGGATATTTTTTTTGTTATACAGCAAGTCATGTTTTTAAGAAAATAAGAATTTCAGTGCTTGTTTGTTTTTTTATTTCTATTGTCTTTTTTTATTAAAGCTGTTGTTATGCATGCTGCTCTAAGTGCAACGTTTTCTTATGATTTGTAACACAAACCAAATTTCTGTTCAAACCAAAAGCTGCTCATATTAAGCTCTTCACTTTTGAATATTTCTTGTGTCGATAAATATCTCTGTGAATTTTTCTCCGTAGCCCACTTTTCTTCTTTTTTTTTTTGTCTTTTATCTATGGGATTGTTGTCAGGCTCATCTCCCCGAGGTCAGTGTTGCAGCAGGCAGGCTTTTTCCGCCCTCAGCAAAAGAAGGAACTCGTTTGGCTGGTTCTGACTGAAGGGAAATAAAATCCAGGGGTTTGTCTTTGTCATTTATTGCAAAATGAACACTGAGCACCGAAAACCAACACAATTTCAGGATTGTGTCCTGATCATTTTTTGTCTTTTTAGGTCAAACATACTTTATTTTCTTTTTATGACAGAGGTCAAAAGGCTAAATCTTTTAGCTGCTGTTATCTACAACCATTATGTCTCTGTTGTAAAACCAGGACAAGATTTGAAATGAATAAAACTCCAGAGCATTCTTAAGATCTTTTCATTTCCTTTGGAAGCAGATGAGATTATTTCCTTTTGAGTCGTGTAGAAGCAATGGTTGCCCCACAAAGCTTAAAACACAGCATGTAATTATCTATTTTCAGTGCCTGAATTCAGGCTTTTCAGGCTTTTTTTTTTTCTTCCTCCCCTTCTGTTCATGTTGTAGTTTCCCTGCGTAACCCCGTTTCCTCTGGCTCACTGCCCCCGCTGGCACATTCCTGTTTTACCTGTACACGTTGTCATGTAAAGACACATAGTTTCACAACTTGCATGCATACCAAACAGTAGGATGAGCGAGGACTGAGCAGGCCTGTTGCCTATAAACCGCAGGATTCACACTGTCAGGATTTTTACATGTGTTCCTCTGTCGGCTCTCGCATGTCGTTTTCTTTTCAACCTTTTGTGGAGGAAATGAGTGGGGAGAGGGGACTGGTATTTTTTAAAAGAAGAAAATTAAAGACCTGTTTTCTGGAAATCTGACTTGAAAATCTGGAAATCTGGGGGAAGAAAAACAATTCCATCATTTTCCATGAGAGGGAGACATAGGGCTATTATTGGAATCACTAATAACTCAATATATACTAAACAAATGCAAGTAGGGAGGTATCCCTTATTTAAGAAAAGCTTTTAACATTTTCTCACTTTGTGAATTTGATTAAGGTGGTAATAAGTTCAGGATTGTAAAATGGAAGAAATGACAGCATAAGACTAAAAGTTAAGTAACAGTTAAACTGACATCTTTTTGCTTTGATATCCTTTGGAAAATGAATTTAGAAGAAAAATCCGGTTAAATCGGATGTTTGCAACAAGCTGCGCAGGAGGCATTGAAACAGAATTAACAGATTTATTTAGAAGAAACAGATTTACTCAGTTGCAAACAAATTATTTGTGGAAAACTAACACAGCACCTATCCATAAAAATGTGCTAGCATCATGAAATGGTGAGGCCTTTCTGTTAGTCGGAAGAAAGCTGGTCAGAGTGGATTGGAAGATCACATACAGGACACTACTGGAGGACAGGATGGAGGATTCATTAGACCAGGGTGCTGGAATCATTTAGAGCCACGAAATATTACATGAATTTTTTAATAAGAAACAATATTTTGGTTGAATATATGCCACTGGCATTCGTTTTTTCTTCGTAAACAACCAACCATTTATCTGTATTTTTAGCTTTTAGGAAAAACATAAAACATTTCATAAAGATGACACATGTTTTATTCTTCTGAAAGATACTGTAAAAAATAAAACAATTTCTAAGCAAATAAAATAAAAATATCTCTTTTTTCATGTATTTCTGTTGTAAAAAATCAAATAATCTTTATAACAACCACTAAGCTTTTATTGCACATTAGTTAGTTCTTTATATAATTTTTAGCCTCCATTTAGAGCTATTGTATAGGGTCCATATATATATAGGTCATATTGATGTGTTAGAATGGCCCGACCAGAGTCAAAACATTGGCTTCAGTTTCACTTATTCAAATCACAACATATACACTCACCGGCCACTTTATTAGGTACCCCATGCTAGTAACGGGTTGGACCCCCTTTTGCCTTCAGAACTGCCTCAATTCTTCGTGGCATAGATTCAACAAGGTGCTGGAAGCATTCCTCAGGGAGTTTGGTCCATATTGACATGATGGCATCACACAGTTGTCGGAGATTTGTCGGCTGCACATCCATGATGCGAATCTCCCGTTCCTCCACATCCCAAAGATGCTCTATTGGATTGAGATCTGGTGACTGTGGAGGCCATTTGAGTACAGTGAACTCATTGTCATGTTCAAGAAACCAGTCTGAGATGATTCCAGCTTTATGACATGGTGCATTATCCTGCTGAAAGTAGCCATCAGAAGTTGGGTACATTGTGGTCATAAAGGGATGGACATGGTCAGCAACAATACTCAGGTAGGCTGTGGCGTTGCAACGATGCTCAATTGGTACCAAGGGGCCCAAAGAGTGCCAAGAAAATATTCCCCACACCATGACACTACCACCACCAGCCTGAACCATTGATACAAGGCAGGATGGATCCATGCTTTCATGTTGTAGACGCCAAATTCTGACCCTACAATCCGAATGTCGAAGGAATCGAGACTCATCAGACCAGGCAACGTTTTTCCAATCTTCTATTGTCCAATTTCGATGAGCTTGTGCAAATTGTAGCCTCAGTTTCCTGTTCTTAGCTGAAAGGAGTGGCACCCGGTGTGGTCTTCTGCTGCTGTAGCCCATCTGCCTCAAAGTTCGACGTACTGTGCGTTCAGAGATGCTCTTCTGCCCACCTTGGTTGTAACGGGTGGTTATTTGAGTCACTGTTGCCCTTCTATCAGCTCGAACCAGTCTGGCCATTCTCCTCTGACCTCTGGCATCAACAAGGCATTTCCGCCCACAGAACTGCCGCTCACTGGATGTTTTTTCTTTTTCGGACCATTCTCTGTAAACCCTAGAGATGGTTGTGCGTGAAAATCCCAGTAGATCAGCAGTTTCTGAAACACTCAGACCAGCCCTTCTGGCAACAACAATCATGCCACGTTCAAAGTCACTCAAATCATCTTTCTTCCCCATACTGATGCTCGGTTTGAACTGCAGGAGATTGTCTTGACCATGTCTACATGCCTAAATGCACTGAGTTGCCGCCATGTGATTGGCTGCTTAGAAATTAAGTGTTAACGAGCAGTTGGACAGGTGTACCTAATAAAGTGGCCGGTGAGTGTACATTTCTTGCTCTTCACAATGATGTACTACTTAGTGTTTTTCTTTTAACATAAAAATAATACCTACACTGAAGTTTGCATTGTAGAGTAACAAAATGCACAAAGTTATAAGCTGCATTATACGTTTTCCAAGTCTTGTAACTTTTTTTCTTATCATTTACGCTCTCTTATCTTTACAATATGGCACCTGCTTAGGAGTGTGGCACACAGTAATCAACTTTGTTTTACATTTTTCAAGATGATTTAAATAAGCAGAAATGTTTAAGAAACTCAAATTCTTGCCTTGGATACACTTGAAGGAATTGAAAAAAATATTTCCATAGTGCGATAGCTGAGCTGAGCTGTGAGTCTGAGTGTCGTGGTACCCAATGAAGGTCACAACCGCATTCATGTATAAAAATATATTTATTTCAAGTCTTTGTGTTGAAGTAAGTAACATTAATATAAAACAACAAAAAAAGAACATCAAGTATAGTGACAGAATGACAAAGTCTGTGGAAAGACAAGGCTTTCTTTTTAGAAGAGAATTTCTGCTCAGGTTGGGCTAACCTGACCACAGCTTCTTTGAAAATGGAAGCAAAGCCTAACCCCATGTAGAAAAATAACAGTTTCTTTTGTCTATTTTTGGAGCTTGCAAGTAACACTGCGTGATCACTTCGCTAGTGGGACTTTCTCCAGAGTCTTGACAGTTATTATGGATTTCTACAAAAGAGCATGTCGACCAGCAGCTCCAGCAAGTTGGCCTGGCCGATCACGGGCCGGAAGAAGAGCTCGGTGATGAGGCTGGGCGTGATGCCCTGAAGCATGGAGGCTGTGAGGAGGATCCGAGCAAAGCGCTCCTGGTGCCCTGGATGAAGGAGCTGGACCACCTCGCTCAGGGCGTGCTGAGCTTCCTGCTGCAGTCCTTCTACAAAAAGGCCCGCCTGTAACTCTGGTACATCTGTTGTAACAAAATAAAGGGAGGGTTAAGTTTAGAAATAAGGCACTGTCTCACTGCATGCATGTCTTGGAGGGGATTTGTTTTAATACAAAGATAATCCACAATAGTTAACTTACCAGGGTTAAATATTGTGGTCCCTTTCAGATATGCGTACTCCTTTGGGCTCAAATCCAAACTCCAAAACTTTTTCAGACAGCACTTCAGTTTGCTGACGCCTGCCATGGTGGGCTGCTCCCGCTCCATCTCGGGGCTCTCTTGACGGTTCAGGAGAATCTTCTTCAGCAGGCTGTCTGCTGGAACGTCTGTCACGTCGAAGTCCACATGCTCCTGGGCCAGACCCAGGATGAAAAGTGGCGCCCAGCAGCTTTTCAGAAGGGAGTACTGGTCACTTGGTGGCAGCTGATTGAAAGCCGGTAGGTTTCTCATGAAGTGGACGGTTTTGACCAGAACTGCAGAAGCGTCCTTGCAGACCTCCGAGGGTCTGAGCAAGCACACTGTCCGTCGCACCTCACAGTTACATTTGTGAGGAGCTGAGCTGTTGCTGAAGGTCTGTTGGCTTGGTTCGCCAGTATCCATTCGGCTCAAGATGTTGTAAAGGATAGGATTTAAAGACCTATCACCACTGGTCGAGCAGTTACATCTGCTGTCCATCTTTCTCTGATCAAGATGCAGCTGCTGAGGCAAACTTCTCTGTGTGAGAGCAGATGGGTATTACTGCTTTCTCCAGTCTCCCTTTACTTATAAGGCCACCCCCCACCCCGCCTCCTTGTTGGACCTTGAAATGTCAATACACTCTCTGTGAAAAACAACCATGTGCTCTGCCAGGTGACTGCTGGAACAACCCTGGGAAACAGATAAGCTTTTCTCAATGAAAAGTAGCTGCTGGAGTAACACATGGAAATCATGAGGGATTGGCCTTATCTGGAAGCTGGTGTCATTAACCCAGGCAGTACCAAGCTACCAAGGACTGCAGAGGTAATCGGCCTCCCATCGTGTCACTGCACCCGCCACCTAACACCTGCAGGGCTGGAACGAGGCAAGAACACAAAAAAGGCCAATGACCTTTACATTGTGTCTCCATTAAGTGTTTTTTTATCTGAATAAACATTTAACCTGGAAGCAACGGGGGAATTTTTTGGACTTGTTTTGAGAAAGCTGATCAGTAAAAGTGCTAAAAAAAAAAAATAGAGAGGCAGAGATTCCAAAATGGAAAAGTATAAACTCTATTTGACTGATTCCTTTCCCTCTTAAGAAGGATCAAGCAGCTTGTTAAGCAGACAAACAAGACAAAGCTTTATAATTTTTTTAGGTTATTTAAAGTGAAAGGATGTACTATTAGCCCTGCATGCACTTGTCCTGGGGCTGACTCTTTCCTCTTAATTCCCTTCTCCTCTCTAAACAGTGAAACAAAGACAGCTGGAGGTAAATCTATCTGCCTGATTTCCATGGCTAATCATATGACGGTAGAAGTTCAGAATGAAGTGCAGATGAAACCGGTTATATAAATGCACTGTATAAAAAGACAAATTCATCCTTCCTCCATCCATCCTCCATATCAGGCCTGTTTTAAATGTGCTACAATTGCTGGCATCGTTCTATTTTCCTAAGTGGATCAATCGAGACCCAGGTCATACAGTTTTCCTCCATCCATCCCTCACAGGGTTTCTTCTCATTCCTCCTGGCAGAACTGATGCACCTGACTGCCCACTTATTCCCTATGGGACTGAGATCATGACATTTTTTTATGATTTACTTCTTACCTAATGTGTTGGAATGCTTTGAGTCATCCATTTAGAAGATCCATCTGTGCCTCAACATTAACTTACCGGCTGGTGCCTGGAGATGTGGCTTAAGAATTTCTACACTGTTTGTTTTTTTTTTTTAGCATAGTATGAACTACACAAATATCACTTCTGCTTACAAACACCCAGACAACATGATGCCACCAACTCCATACTTCACAGCTCAGAGGGTATTCTCCAGTTTATCTTTCAAGCTCCGCCCAATTTCCCCCAAATGCAGCAATTGCCAACAAGGCAAAAAGGATCAACTTTAGCAGGAGATACTGTTCCACAGATTGAGGGGTCTGTTCTTGAAGGGTTTTGCAAAATGCATCTAAACTTTGATGTTTTTAAGAGTATTGACTTCTCAGGTTGATTTTCAGTCAATATTGGTGCTGAACTTCCTTCAGTAGAAAAGATCTTTAACTACCATCTTCACAAAGTCTATTTGGGTTTATTTCCTTTTTTTTTTTTTACATCAAAACATGGCTGTTATGAAGAGTAACTGTTTAAAGAGAAGTAACTTCGCCATCAGCTCATTTTTTCTGGAGGATGAACTGACCCTCCTCAGGTTTAGGGTTCTCCGCCTGATGTCTGGCAGGAGCTCTCAGTTTGTGTTGCCTTAAAATAAAAACACAACTAGTTTTATGTTATATAAAGACATAGTAGCCTAATCATGGTAAGTTTAAACTTGTAAATTTAAAGAATGTATTAAAAATGTGTTTGAACTATTATAACTTCACTGAACCTTGGTTATGCTATGCAATCAGTCTTAATGTTAATGGGTTGCATCAGTGGTATTAGTTCCTACTAAGGATACTGCAGGTTTGTTGACTTTAGATAGCATTAGTCTTTCACCTGCTAAGCAGTGAGCCTGAGCTGATATTAGCTCCCTGACTCATTGACTCGAATATGAAATTCACAATCCCAACTTGTTTTATAGAATAATTCATTATCTGGTCGTTTTAGTTTAAACTGTAATATTTTTTTGTAAAATGAACCTAAAAATCCCCTTTTCCTCCTTTTAATTCATCCTTTGGCTGCCTTAATTTGAGGTTGTTATTGCTTTATGTTACTTTAAGGGTAAAAAAAAACAAACCCAGTACTCTGGCTTGACGCCCTAACCCCACCCTGTTGAGCTTGCTTACTTTGTTAGTGTTTTTTAAAGTTATACGATTCTACTCAGGCTTTTGTTTAAAATATCTTTAAATGACACTTTAGTGCGTTTTCCTCTTCTAGTTCAAACATCTTCCTCACAGATCTAATCATTTTTATCGTTCAAACATGTTTGCTTCTCAGATGGACCCAAGAATCAATGAAAATATTAACATTTGCTCTTCTTTTTTGTCAGTTTATAAAACTTACTTGTTATTTTTGTTGAAGGCCCTTTAAAGATTTGATTTAGCTTACCTTAGAGAATGTTTGCGCAGATCAGACGATTAAGAAAGAGACATTAGAAGCCATTTAGTTAGATTTTTATGGGGGGGAGGGGTTTCAAAGCAGAGCTAAATGGAAAAATCAAAGATGGAAAAATCATTTTTTGTTAATGAGTTTTGGAAAAGTAAATAGTTTACAGTAGAGCAGTTTTATGGAAAGTGCTTTGCCGGGTGGTAGATAGTGAACCTGTTACTATTCTAAAGTGTCATGTTGGGTGGAGGTTTAAAGAGGACCCAAATGCAGAGACTGGAGCAGTTTCTTGCAGATTTAATAACGAAAAGAAAAACAGAAGCAAAAATCAACAGAATCCATACAACTTTTTGTATTGTAAATCAACACAAAAATTAACCATATTATTTTTTTGATATATCTAACAGATTTTCTAACAATACCACACAAGGCCATTTAATTTGGATTTTTGATATGAATATTTTCTAACTGTAAAATATGTCCACAGACAGAAAAGTATATGTCCTCTTTATAGTCTTTTTTTTTTTTGCATGAGTTACTGCATATAGGCCTGTGACTCTACTGAGGTGTAATGGGAGGCCCGTGAGTAGAGACAGCTTGTTTGCATAGTGGGATCTGGTGTCTATCGTCCTCTTGATGACAGTCCATAGATTCTCCATGGGGTTTATGTCAGGTCAGTTTGCTGACAATAAATCTCAGTAAAACCATGGTCATAATGCAGAGATAATTATGTCAGCGTGGATGGGTGGAAAATCCTGTATCTTCTTATAAAGCTTTACAGCAGAGGGAAAGCATGAGCGTCTCAAGCTAGACTGGTGGACTGTTGTATGGCCTTTGAACTTGAACACTTTTCCTTCTAATTGCATTTCCAGTAAGGTGCTTGCAACACTTAGTAAACATCCTCTAGTTTCTCTAGTAATACTCTTTTGAGGCTCACAATAATTCCAAGTTGTCTTCAAGTATGCAATATTCCTGCAATTCGTTGGATCTAACATGACAATAAAGTCTCTCTGTGTGATTCATCTGGCTCAGGGGTCTCTGGAGCAGCGAGTGGCTCTTTTTACCCTCTACATGGTTTAGATCATAGTATGTTGACAAATAACTCTATTAGACTCTTTAGACAGACAACAGCATGACTTTAAATGAATAGAAATGTGTTTTCAGCACAGCAAAAAGTTAAAATCTTAATAAGTATGTTTTTCTTAAAATAAGGGTGTTTTGTCTTGAATTGAGGAGGTTAGTTCAATTCAATTCAGTTTACTTATATAGCGGCAATTCATGTCATCTCAAGGCACTTTACAGAGACAATTCAACCAAATTGATTCAAAGTTTTCTATCTAAGGACAACCAGTTGATTGCATCGACTCATTGACTCGAAGGCAATCCCTCACACTAAGAATGTTTGTTGCTACAGTGGAGAGGGAAAATTCCCTTTTAACAGGAAGAAACCTCCAGCAGAACAAGGCTCAGTGTGAGCGGCCATCTGCTGAGGCCAACTGGGGTTCAAGGAGACAGAAGCAGAGATACAGAAAAAAGCAGAGATACAAAGGCAACTGTAAACCAGCTCCACAGGCGCCCCTTTCCAGGAAACACACAGCCAGGCAGATGAGCTCCGAGCCAACTCCCATGTCAGAGGATGAAAGAGAGCATATACAGTTAATCACAATCAGAGAAACAGGACTACACTGAAAAACAGGCCAAGCTCCAACAAAGTGACACACTTTGTCAATGGAACATGACAATTTACATTTAAGATAAGAGGAAAACAATTGCATTGTCTTATTCTAAGAGTAAAAAATACTCATTCTATCGGCCAATCATCTTATTTACCGTTTTAAATTAGAGTAAATACGCTTAATTTAAGAATGTATTACTTATTTCTAGAGTGTTTTTTGCGGTGAGATCCATATTTCTATTTATAAATTGGGAAACTATTTGTTTATTTTCATTTACATAAAGTAGTATCCTAAAGAGGAACATTCATGCTTCTTCTGGTAAAACATTTGTGTTTTTCCTTATTCTAACCCTGTAAAGCCTAAACCATGGAATATAAAACACATTTTGCTTTAAACTAATGTGGTCTTTTAATGTTCTGACAAATAAAATATTTTAAGGATAATTTGATCAGGCATTTCTGTTAAATATATTATGAATTTTCTGTTCACACAATGTGTCTGATTGATATAAATCAGTGTTTAACAGAACAAAAATAAATCTGATGATGTAAAAGTCTCAACAAATCATAAGATACATTTGGTGTTAAAGGACTGAAAACAAAAAATTTAAAACATGTTTTGTGCTGTTAAACACAATGGAAACAGATTTGCTACACTAGATATTTAACAAAAACAATAGGTCGCATTTATTTAAATATTATGTAATACTTTGTGGCTCTGAATTACTTATTTTGCTGGGCACAGGATTTGAAAGGTTGCAGAACTCTGATCCAGCTAAACTAATGTA